TATTCGTCCAGTGTGTGACAGTATGATATATATTGACCCCTGTCCCGCTTGTGGACTCGTGACGTCATTGTGATTGACGTTTCAATTGAAATTCTCCCGACTTGTTATGGTCTCATGATCCCTCCGTTAAAGTTTATATGTACCTTTGACATTGTTATCGTACTTATCAACTGGGATAATATTTTGACAAAGCACAGTTTCTTTATGTGGCTAGTATATATGGCATAAGGTCTCAACAGAATCATTACACGAAAAGAACATATTGTATTGTCCACCAGATTCATTCTAAACAGTTCTTTTTTGGTATAAACAATTCCGTGCAGAAAAAAATATATTGAACCTCTAACAGTTTCACATCTCTTAAATTCTTTCTACAAATATTTAAAATCAAATGCCAATCAAAATCAATACAGTCAATATTGTTTCCCATTTTTTTGCACACGTGAGGTTCAACATTTTCAGATAACAATTTATCATTAAATAATCTTGAACCTTTTCTTGGGGATATGAAATTCTTTTGGAGTGAATTTATAGCGAGGTCATTAATGTTTATGTATCTATATTCCTTTAAATTCTTTTTCCAAGGCTCAGGTAAAATATATATAACATATCCAAGATCTAAGTGGGTACCTTTTATATCAAATTTAAGCTTTAATTGATCAAAGGATATTATTATTATAGGATATTTATATAGCGCACATATCCACACACTAGTGCATGCTCAAGGCGCTGGTATTTTTCCCTCGATCATTGGATGTCAATATCAACTGGGACACATAGTCACACACTTTGTCCAACTTCACTGCAGGTTGCTGTACCCGCAACTAGGTGTTTGCACGTATTCATGTAGCCACCATCTGGACATATACCAACGGATTCGTGGGTTCTTTTAAGTGCACAGGGTTGTGTACTGTACACTAGGGGTTGTGACAACACGGAAAGAGTTTGCACACAAAGTTGACTCCAAGGTTTTTACACCCGGTCACAGGTGGGCTCGATCCCGGCACCTCAACCTCGCTGAATCAGTAGCCTGGCGCCTTAGCCAGCTCGCCCACTGCGCCCCCAGATATAAACCGATGTTTATCTAAAAGATCTTTGATAGTCAAGATTCCACTTTTAGCCCAGTGACTAATGATGTGATTTGAGTTTTTGAAATTGTTATTCAGCCATAGAGGTTGGGATAAGATTTCATTAATGATCTCTGCAACTATTTGCTCCATATTCTAGCATAACCTTTAAAGGACTCTTGCATGGGTTACCAGAATTATTTTTTTAAAGTATAGTTTGAGTGTAGATAATTTCATGGCGTTAACAAAGGTTTTAATATCAATCATCCGTATCCCCCCTACAAACCCGTTGATTTGGGAAGATATCAGAGAGATGCCCATTCTGAATAACACATATGTGTCATATGTTAAGACATTAATCAAACGTATAATCTTTGGACCCAAGCCAAATTATATTAGGACAGAATTGATACAATCCTTGGAAACTGTGTCAGTTCTTCTTCGAAATCAATCAAAATTAATAAACCTAACATGTCTCTTTTCTTAGTTTCAAACATCATGTTATATAATAGCCTTGTGTTTTCACTTAAGGTTCTGCTAGGTATTAATCCAGACTGGTTTTTATGTATCAGGGAATCAAGGGTAGTTTTTAACCGATTTGAGATACATGCACTTATTACTTTATACAGAGCATTAAATAAAGTAATTGGTCTCCAGTTCTTCAATAAGGTCCTGTTGTTATTAGCTTTAGGTATACAAGTGATAACGCCTTTCTTCATGGTAAGAGGCATCTTATTTCTTTTTGATACATCTTTGACCTTTAGTTCTTTCCAGGAGAATTGAAAGAAATCAATAGGAAATCCATCTATACCGAGTCTTTTGTTATTTTTCATACCGTAACTTTTTATTGCCAATGATATTTCATTTATGTCTAATTCTTTTTCCAATTTGTATCTCTTTTGGTGACTCAAGGTTGGAGTTATCACATTTTCTAAACAGGCATTATTCACCTAGTTATCAGGAGAAGAATACAGTTTTTATAAAACTCTTTAAGTTCATTAAGATTGCATCGCTGACAGTAATTTCTTCATTCTTATCTGTAATAATTTTATTAATTGACTTGCTGACATAATTCCTATTTTCTAAGTGACAGAAATATTTTGTTGGCTTTTCCCCTTCTTCCACAGGAAAAATAACTTGGTTTCCGGACACCGGAAACCTAACGGAAATGAAATGAAAACTTAACTTTCAGTTAGGTTTCCGGACCGTTTCCTTATTGAACATTTACGAAAATATTGTCCTTTTTAGTACAGTTATGTGTAATGTGCATAACCACTCCCAGTTAATTGTATCAGTATCTATCACTTTGAGAAAAAATACAAACGAAAAGCCAATGGGTAACCGAAACCTAATGGAGCCTTACCCGGTGTTCTTCAATAATTTATAAATTTAAGGCATCTGTGAGTGTACCTAACAAAACGTAAAGGAGACAAAGTAGAATCTTAAGTTTCCATAATTAGGTTTAACTGCTCCTGAAATTAATCTTGTTTCATGTGACAGTATCTTTTCTTTGAATTCTTGTGTACAGAAACACTGAGATCATTAAACTGAAACCTATACACATGGAATACATAGACAGTTTAACGTAGGTTAATGTAGGTTTCTGAATATATGCTGTATATGCTGGTATATAGAGTCAAAGTACGTTCGTTTCATTCAGGCTCCATCAAAGCTGGTTTCCAGTTGCTTTATGCAATGGAAACTTCCAATGATACATTACTGTAAGTTTTCATTTTTGGAAACTAACTTTGTTAGTTTCAGCAAAAGGAAACATCCGGAAACCAACAATCATAGTTTCCGTGAGCGGAAACCAACATGATTCTGGCATTACCCATTTTCAGGTAGGTTTCCGGAAAACTGGAAACGTATCTCTTCTTCCTTAATTTGTTGTACGGTAGTTCTGATTTTAATTTAGAAAGTTCAGATAGTAAGGCTTCATCTATGTTTTGAAAATATTTTCTAATAGTATCTTCACAGTCTCTTATTTTAGTTTCTAAAGAAATGAACCAAGTTGATATTGGACGTTATACTTGGAATATTCATCGTCGGATCCAGCTGAGCCTTCAGAATAGAGTCGGGATATTGATGATGTTCACTTTTCATTGTAAATGACGTGATGCACATGTCAGTCAGATGTCTCTGTCACAACGTTAAACCATTTGCCGAATAAAAGATAATCAATACTATACTTGTGACACCCTTTTATTAAACATTCCCTCCTGTTCTGAATAATGTATAATAGGCACATAAAGAAACTGTGCATACAAAAATGTAAAATCTAATTTTATCAAACCTGTGTAGACACATAAGGATTTAAACTCAGAGATTAGTGACATGTATCCAACATGCATGCATGTGCCACGTTCCGTGACGTCAGTGGGTTCGTCCTTGAGACGTGCAATACGTTGTTGCACGTGCATTCCGAGAAAGAGAAACAGAGCAAATGAATGCCACACAATGCTGTCACTTTGGAAAGCTCAACCCCTGCGCTTGCGATCGTTCAAAAAATGAAACGGCTATTGAAACGCATAGCATGCCAAGGCTCACGTCTGCACGTCATGAGGCCATTGGGATGGTACGTGGGGGGAATGTCTCATCGACAAGTGGCTGCACATTTCAACTGCCACCGGAACACCATTTCTGCACTAGTGAGACGCTGTCAGAACACACATCGATCGGCCACGTTCAGGATGTCCACGTGTAACAACGCCAAGACAGGACAGATGGATATGGGTGACCCATCTTCGCCACAGGTTTCAGACTGCAGTGATGACTGCCCGAACCATCCCAGGACTTCGCTGTATCCACCCCAACACAGTTCGACAACGTTTACGTCATCACGGGATCAGACCAAGACGTCCCACCATATGGCCTATCCTGACACAACGTCATCGACAAGCCCGCCGAATGTGGAGCCGAAATCATTTCCGCAGACCCTTGTTTTGGTGGAAAAATGTTGTTTTTCCAGATGAGTCCAGGTTTAACATTTCCCATAGTGATGGACGTCAACGTGCCTATAGACGCGTGGGAGAACGTTATGCACAGGCCTATGTCTTGGAGAGGAGTCGCTTTGGTGGTGGTTCCGTGATGATTTAGGGTGGAATAACAGCACGCCAAAGAACTCCTTTGGTGATTGTTCAGGGCAACTTAACTGGTGTGTGCTACAGGGATCAGATACTTCGACCTGTGGCAATTCCTTTTCTGCAACGTCATGGCCCTGGGTTAACATTCCAACAGGACAATGCCCGCCCTCATACAGCAAGGGTTGCTATTCATTTCTTGCAACACCACAACGTTGACTTACTGCCTTGGCCTGCAAATTCACCGGATCTCTCCCCGATAGAGCATGTTTGGTACGGGATGGATCGACGTCTACGCCGTCTTCCTCATCCTCCAGATAACGTCCTTGACCTTGCAACAGAACTTGAGAGAATCTGGCGTGACATCCCACAAGCCTTCCTTGCACGTTTGATAGGCTCTGTGCGTCGTCGATGCACTGCTGTTCTCAATGCCGATGGTGGACATACCCGTTATTGAGCTTGTGACATGGTCGTTTGACCCCTGTCCCTCTTGTGGACTCGTGACGTCATTGTGATTGTCTTTTCAATTGAAATTCTCCCGACTTGATGATTTCTCCATTTATGTTTATATGTACCTTTGACATTGTTATCGTACTTATCAACTGGGATAATATTTTGACAATGCACAGTTTCTTTATGTGGCTAGTATATAAGCTCCCTGTTTCCAAGCTTTCATCGTCTGATGAGGGAGTGAAATTATAAAAAAACGTCTGTTCCTCATAAAATAGAAATAGACATCCATAAAGCATTTCCCCTGTCTATGCAGTGTTTCCACGAGGCATGTTCAGTATGGCGCAGCGCCCTGAAGAAGTTATTTGGCGTCCTGTCCTTATTTTAATACAATAATTGACACTAACACTTGGTTCTCTTTATTTTCTATTTCATATTGAAGTTCAGTGTAATAACTGTGCTGTGCTCTTTGAACCTTTAAGAACCATATACATGAATAGCTTGACGCAATATATCTAATCGATCATTGCAAGCCCCTTTTTGGAATAGGGGTGCCCCTTTTGAAATCACATCTGCCTGCCCTTTTGAGATCCTGGGGGAAACACTACTACGTATCAGTTCTAAAGTCCATTCAAACACTAGGCCTACTTAATATTCTTCGAAGGTTATCCCTTGTATTCTTATCAGCTGATTCACGTCTCCGGGGATTTACGGGAATCCCTGAAACTCCCATCAGATATCCCGGATGTATGTATGGCCCAAGGATGCCGAGCACTAAGCGCAGGTCTGTCCATGTTTGGTGTGTGAATGTTCTCAGGATCACATCCTGGTTCCTCAGGTTCCGTAATCCCTGGACGTTTTGGTCATGAGTTGCTCGGTCCAAGTAGCTCGGTGAACTTTCGAAATCAGCTTCGTCCCAGCAGATTTTGAACAAAGAGACAAAATGAATACTTACAGACACATTGAAGTGGCGTTTTCTGAGGTCTTTTAGAATACGACAGTACCCTTTGGCACAATGCCAACATGGGCTGTAATTCTGGAAAACCTTAATGTTCAACCTGTGCCCCATACCGGTATTACATAGATTCGTTTCGGTAAACAGGAACTCCAAGGTCCGAATCAGATTCAACTCAGCATGAATACAGGAGTTGTCTGGTTTTCTTTCAGAGTAGAAGACTGCCTATGGTTTATTCCAAAGTGTACACACAGCAACCCCAAGCCTTGGCCTGTCACATGTTGGAAGGCCTGTGATCCAGAATACACTGAGTATTTCATCATCTCGCAGGTACCCGTCCATTATGGTAGCAGGTATCGACACCTGTAACAAAGACGCTATTGTACAACGGATAATATTTTTTATTAGTGTCTTATGAGATGTCCGCACGCAGGTGTATTATATTGGTGTGAGTTACAGATAAGCCGCTGGTCTCCCAAAACACTAATGTAACTATAAAATATATAATGCCCTGCAATACGACTGGCTTCGTGTGATATGTAAGACCTCACTAACATGAACCAAGAAGAGTTTACTTACAGTCATTGGACGAATGTGCTCGTTAATGTACACACACACGGGGTAGCCATGAACGTTACATGTCGTAGTATGTGCTAACGTCATTTATTTGAAGAAGTGCCCTGTATCTTGTCTCGATGGCTTCATGTCGGGCACTGCGGGGGCAGTGATGGCGTAACGTGATTATACTGATGGGCTTGAAACGAAATAGGACGGCTACTTTCGGTTTCTCTTCCAGGAAATGAAGATTGTAATCGATTACCGTCATTTCTATATGTCAAATACCGTGATAACAGTGACTGCGTGAACACTGATATACACACATTGAACCTTCACCAATCCCACCTTATTGTATTACGTCAGCTACAGCAATTCAATATACCTACTGAATAAACTAGTATACACACACTGGACCTTATACCGACCCTACTTTAACACCTTTCAGTCTCATCTTTTGACAAACTGATTGATTTAGACATATGCCCCTCTGTAGTTAAATGGATAGCCTTAACTCTGTCTAACAGATCCCATTATGTCAAACTGAAAAGTACTCGTTCTCAGACTGTATCTATTAATACCGGTGCTCCACAAAGATGTGTATTGTCTCCAATAGTTTTTACTTTGTATATTTATACCGGTGTTCCACAAGGATGTGTATTGTCTCCAATAGTTTTTACTTTCTATACTAATGATTGTGTAAGTACTCAACCTATCTGTTCTAGATTCAAGTTTGACAATGAGTACATATATCAAATAAGAAATAGATACTTCGTCAATTGGTGTAATGAAAACATTTTGTAACTCAATGAGCCCAAAACAAAGGAATTTATCATTGATTTCCGAAGAAATAGATTAGCAAATAACCATGATTATGAAACAAGGACAGAACTGTAATAATCGTATAGAATAGATGAATTTCATGGAGGAAAGGCTCTAGATGTAGCTACAAATAGCATTACTGATCCCTCTCATGTCATACACGAATGTTATGAACTTTCAACCTCTGGCCGACAATATAATGTATCGACGTGCAACTCCAAGCGTCATAAACTGTCTTTGTACCATTGTCAATTTCTTTGTTGAATAACCCTTAATGTTCTCCATTGTCGTGCTTTTGTACATTAGTAAGTAATGTTTTATGTATTTATGTATTTATTTGATATATATGTATTTATGCTCAATCTGATGTCTACAAATTCCCTCACGGATAATAGAGAATTATCTTTATCTTCTCTTATGTAACTTATCTTATCTTACTTTAATATAGGCCGTATTGTTGTAGTACGTCAATTGCAACAATTCATTATACTTACTCAATAACGTTTGTCGGGTTTATGTTGATTCCATCACATCACTCGCTTTGTAGTGACATAAAAATATACATAGAAACCTGCATACATTGCCATGGAGAGTTCATAACAAATGTAATAGTAATGCAATATGAAATGCATGAAAATATGAAATATTATAAATCAACAATTGTAATATGAAGAAGGTTTTTATCACTATATATATTTCTTTCTTATCTGAGGACAGCATTTCATGAGGATTTCACAGGTCGGCAAGTCTGTAATGTATAAAGCAAGTCAAATAGAACCATTATCTATATAAGTAGATTGTCACAAGAGGACCAAAATGAGACCAAAACGTCATATTTGCGGTGAGAGTAGGCATTAAATTTATGTAACTAATTTAATTTCGGTTTCAGACCAGCTAGTGCAGGTAAAATGTTTGCTACTTTTCTAGAATTCTTTCATAAAAATAAAAATGAAATTGTGAGTAATCCAAGAGTAATTGTTTCAGGGTTTTATTTCAAATGGGTGTCATTTTCGATTCATTCTAGTAGATCTTGCCACAGCCTGTTGACAAATTTGCATTCATATAGTAGATGAATAATCGATTCTATTACAACATCACAAAATGTATAAAGTGGTGATTCTATTATTTTGTGTTTGTGTAAATTTATATTTGTTGTGAAACTTCTGTGAAGAATACGATATTGAAGCAACCTGTGCATAGCACTATCAGTATAAATAATCGATATATGAAGCAGAGGCAGTCTATAGGGTAAACCGCTATTCATACAAGCTTAGCCATTACGTGCAAGGTACAGGTCCTAAATACTTACAAACTGTACACCCCAAACATTGTTTATCATCACGTTACAATATCTATAACCTTACCTAAACTTCATCCCGCCACAATGACTGTCATTGTAAACACACGACGTGACATGTCGCGGTCTGCTGTAGGCTTCTAAGTACGCCAACAAAGTGTGTCCATTTTGGAAAGTAGTCGTGACGTTGCAGTTTGAGCCACGTGTCGGTCTTGGTGGTAGATACAAAGTGGGTTTACTACGTGCAAAGATTAATGAAAGTTAAAGGTATTTTGGTTTTGAAGGTTTTAGCGTAACCATGGCGAGCACTAACGGTTTTTAACGTCTGATATTGACGGTATTTATGATAGATTTTGTAAATTAATGTTATCGTAAAATAGAGGTACTCCAATGTTGTTGGCTTGTGGTAGTTTAGGTAGACCTAATGTTATCGTAAAATAGAGGTGCTCCAATGTTGTTGGCTTGTGGTATTTTAGGTAGGCCTAATGTTATCGTAAAATAGAGGTGCTCCAATGTTGTTGGCTTGTGGTATTTTAGGTAGGCCTAATGTTATCGTAAAATAGAGGTGCTCCAATGTTGTTAGCTCGTGGTATTTTAGGTAGGCCTAATGTTATCGTTTAATAGAGATACTGCAATGTTGTTAGCTCGTGGTATTTTAGGTAGGCCTAATGTTATCGTTAAATAGAGATACTCCAATGTTGTTAGCTCGTGGTAATTTAGTTAATCAGTTTAGTTACTCAAAGATACTGGAAACTGTAACAGTGAAAGTTTACATTACAAATTCCATCCGATTTTGTTGTTCAAATCATGAGTTAATGATTGAATTGGGCAGGAATGGAATATTCCCAGATCAGAAAGATTATGTCCATTCTGTATTGTCCCAAACATTGAATCCGAGTTCCATTTTTGTGTGCCCATTTTATCATAACTTAAGATACAATATACACATCTTCCAAAATATAACTGGGAATACCCAACTTCGGACAAGATGCCAGCATTATTTGTCTCAAAAGGTGTAATCTTAAGAAATCTCTGTAAATTTCTTTTCTTGGCCAAGAAAAGACAAATGTTCTTTAAAGATGTCCGTCTTAGATGAACATCTCTAATGTATTATTTTGTAAAACCTGTTACTCATGTATAAATACATCTATTATAATTGCGAGCCATCATTTCAAGCCCTCTGTATACAACAAACATATGTACCTCAATATCTGTATCATGGGCCTGTGGCCCCCTTACGAAATAAACACATATCACTAACGGTTTTTATCATGACATACGATATCATAAAACCCTTTGACAGGCAATTATAAGTTGGAGTACAGAAAAGGTTTAGATATATGGACAAACAACTTCTCTATTACAATTGGAGCGACGTTTCCGGGTAGGTTCTAACACCGTTATCATATGATGTACAGAGTATAGATTGAGGGCCATATATATATATACATACAAATATAAGTATATACGGTGTTTTCAGTATATTAGACTTTAATCGATTGGGTGGAGAAGCCAGTTAACTACACAGTAGGGTAATATCAGTGTTAAAACATTAAGAATTGAAGCCTGTTCTTTAAACAATAAGAGTGTGAGTGATGAAAATCTTTGATCCAGTTGATGGTATGCGGGGGGTATGTAATTAGTATCCTTGTCATGAAGAGGAACACATTTCATGGATTGACATCTTCTATTAACACATTATCGATACATAAAAGTGTTCCTGTACATCCTACCAGCTTCTAAAGGCCTCTTAAAGAAGGTTGTCATGGCTGGACATACCGGGATCTGACACACCAGGTGAGGTATATGGCATTGGAGAAGGGTGTAATAGATAAAGGACATCTCCATGCCATGTAAACTGACAGTGGACACTGACAAATTCATACAGACATTCACAATAACTATCAACCGAAATGAAATAACAAATAATCTCATTTTTCTACTGTATCAATGACTAATCTTGGCGTACTTCCATGTACTGACCGATATACAAGTGATCTGGTGTAATCAAGACAACATGAAACTGATGTGTATGCGACTACATGTTGATCTTCCTCATATACAGTACATCCATTGGTTTTATTTGAACCATGGATAAACCATGGGTATAATGAATGATCTCTCAAGTTATTATATGAGTCAGAATAACACATGTTATACATAAACAGATGTGTCAATGAACATTCCAATGATATCCAGTTATATCAAACCTTGGTTTGATCATGGTTTGATCATTTCTATACGAATGTCGTGACAGAATATGGACACACTATGGTGGCAGTCTTGATGTTACCTGGTGACACACTATGGTGGCAGTCTTGATGTTACCTGGTGACACACTATGGTGGCAGTCTTGATGTTACCTGGTGACACACTATGGTGGCAGTCTTGATGTTACCTGGTGACACACTATGGTGGCAGTCTTGATGTTACCTGGTGACACACTATGGTGGCAGTCTTGATGTTACCTGGTGACACACTATGGTGGCAGTCTTGATGTTACCTGGTGACACACTATGGTGGCAGTCTTGATGTTACCTGGTGACACACTATGGTGGCAGTTTTGATGTTACCTGGTGACACATTATGGTGGCAGTCTTGATGTTACCTGGTGACACATTATAGTGGCAGTCTTGGTGTTGGGGAATCTAGGAGCACGGTTTGATGTTCACACTTGGCAATATTCAACACAAACACAATGTCAACGGTATTCACAGCCTCTGAAACACCTATAATCCTGATATGAGACTGAGTACTGTTCCGTAATGTCGACTCTGAAACACCTATAATCCTGATATGAGACTGAGTACTGTTCCGTAATGTCGACTTAATGCCCCGTTTTATGGAGCCACGGAATGACAATCTTGGATCTCACCTTGGATCTCACCTTGGATTTCAAATCTGCTACTTTCTTTTCATGCTGCTTGTTGATGAAATGAGTAGCACACGAACTGTGACTTTGTATATACTGACAAATCGGTCTGAGAATATTTGGATTTCACCAATGATATTTTACGTTCGCACCCAATTTTCCTTTGTTTACCTTACAAACGGTTACTTTATTGATAGCCCACATAACTGATGAAAACATAACCACGACGAGATCTGGATCTTCCTAATTTGGCAGTAAAATACAGTGTAATATGTCCTTTCTATAATCTGTGATATCTCTTCCTTCAGAGTGCCTACTGTCTCACCTATGACAGACAGTGACTCCTTATTGCTAAAGGCTAAAGTAGTTGGTTTATGAATTAACCAATAGCATCAGCTGTTCTGAAGTACCTTCAGTTCACTTTCAAACTGACCTTCAAAGGATGGGGCTGTTTGAAAACATAAATCAAATCATTGAACATTTTGACAGTTTCATATCACGGCGGTTAGAAACCCGTATACAGGGTGGGTCAAGAAAACCCAAATGTTGACAATGTTCCTCAGGGTGTATGTTTCCGGAAGTTGTATATGCCGTGTAAAAAACGTTTCTAGAACTGAAACAGCCAAAATACATTCTTTTACAACCTGTTTGAGCTTTCGACGTTTTCGTTCATAGAGTAATCTTTTTAAAGGTTTCATCAGTTTTTCTATCAGCGACTTTTCGTATATGGTGTTTATACCATTCAGGGTAATCTTCAGCTACATGGTCTGACCTATTTGGGTTAGGCATACGTATGTCCGATAGATTTGCCCATGTTTGAGAAGTGAATGTATGCATCTGTATTCCATTTGCTTTAAGACATAACAACCCTTCACGGTTTTTTGTGTGCTCTTCCTGTGTAATATAGTGTGGTTTCGGATCGTTCTCGTTCCAAAATATCTTGTATATACACACAAAATGAATGTGTAACGTGACGTTGCATCCAGGGTAAAACGCTTTTAGTCTGTCAGGAAACTCGTTAATGGTTTTAGCGCAGTCCCCATATGGACTGTAATTCTGAAATATTTCAATTATGGTAGGTGCTGATTTACTTAATTTATCTCCTAATGTTCCACTTTCAAGGTCTTTATATAATTTTTGCATCAGTTTGTCTTCTGCATGTCGACAACTTCCCCTCCTTCTCCTGCTTGACTGGAATACTTCTCCCTGTTCACTTCCTACGACACACACAGCTACACCCCTTCTTGGACGCGGAAACACAGGGCACCCAGTTGCCCAAAATATCCGTAGAATTTTGTCATCAGGTGGTCCTTTCATTTCTCCACTGGACTCCACCTATAATATAACTAACATGTGTAAAGTTTAGTTTCAGTGAGAAAGGCTACACAAATATAGTGAGTTAGTGAGTTAGTGAGTTAGTGGGTTAGTGAGTTAGTGAGTGAGTGAGTGAGAGTACATATGTCCAAAGTGCACATACAGGATGGGTTCACTTCTAGTTTGATATGCGAAGTTTGGCACCTGGTTGTATGGTCCTGGATTATGCTGGGAGTTAAACCCCATTCTGTTATGTGAAATACTCTGGACTTATTCACCGTAACATCCTCGGTTTGAGTTGGAGTAGAACGTCATAACGTCGTGAAACAGACGCTAATGGCGCTCAGAACAACAGACACACGGACAAACCACTCAAATAGACATGAGCGAGAAATATGCAGTGACGTGGTACAGAGGGTGACAGAAAGATGGCGATGTCCCTTCTACAGTGACGGTATGGTGGCGAATCAGACCAGGATGTTTATTAATTTAAACTGAGGTATCATACACCAGTAAGTGCTCATATACTGGTAATTAAGGATGTTTAGTCTGTCTCTCCACATAAGTACCTACGCATATTCAGTTTACCATTTTCCGTGTCTTTTTACCAATTTCAACCGAAAGATTAAAAATATTATGTAACCGGAATCCTAATGGTTGCAGCAACCTTTGTGGTATGAGCGTATCCGCCACTGACACTGACTATCTGATGACTGTCATGCTATTACCACCTATCGGTAGAGGCCGCTGTGGTCAGAATGTCAACGAAGGTACACACCTAATACCATATTCTGAAATTATAATAGATATCATACTAACTTGATGCTTACAGGAACACAGCCGGTGCTTAGGAAGTTGACGCCACACTGTCTACACGTATACCTTGTCACTACCCCCTGCTGCCTTCATAGCAATCCAAGACCTTACATGTCTGCTGCCTACATAGCAATCCTGATCTAACCTTACATGTCAGGGGAGATACACGTATACCTTGTCACTACCCACTGCTGCCTTCATATCGGTCCTGATCTAACCTTACATGTCAGGGGAGATACACGTATACCTTGTCACTACCCACTGCTGCCTTCATATCGGTCCCGATCTAACCTTACATGTCAGGGAGATACACGTATACCTTGTCACTACCCACTGCTGCCTTCATATCGGTCCTGATCTAACCTTACATGTCAGGGGAGATACACGTATACCTTGTCACTACCCACTGCTGCCTTCATATCGGTCCTGATCTAACCTTACATGTCAGGGGAGATACACGTATACCTTGTCACTACCCTGCTGCCTTCATATCGGTCCTGATCTAACCTTACATGTCAGGGGAGATACACGTATACCTTGTCACTACCCACTGCTGCCTTCATATCGGTCCTGATCTAACCTTACATGTCAGGGGAGATACACGTAAACCTTGTCACTACCCACTGCTGCCTTCATATCGGTCCTGATCTAACCTTACATGTCAGGGAGATACACGTATACCTTGTCACTACCCTGCTGCCTTCATAGCAATCCTGATCTAACCTTACATGTCAGGAGATACACGTATACCTTGTCACTACCCTGCTGCTTTCCATGCAATCCTGATCTAACCTTACATGTCAGGGGAGATACACGTATACCTTGTCACTACCCACTGCTGCTTTCATAACAATCCTGATCTAACCTTACATGTCAGGGGAGATACACGTATACCTTGTCACTACCCACTGCTGCCTTCATATCGGTCCTGATCTAACCTTACATGTCAGGGGAGATACACGTATACCTTGTCACTACCCACTGCTGCCTTCATAGCAGTTCTGATCTTACCTTACATGTCAGGGGAGATACATGTATACCTTGTCACTACCCACTGCTGCCTTCATATCGGTCCTGATCTTACCTTAGATGTCAGGGGAGATACACGTATACCTTGTCACTACCCACTGCTGCCTTCATATCGGTCCTGATCTTACCTTACATGTCATGGGAGATACACGTATACCTTGTCACTACCCCCTGCTGCCTTCATATCAGTCCTGATCTAACCTTACATGTCAGGGGAGATCCAAGTATTCCTGGTTTGATGGGTATGACAGATAGCAAACTATTTTCGTTTTTTCATTCTGTCTTTGTTAAAATTTATAAGTACCCAACATCCGGGAGTTGAAACTCTTTTTTGTCTTTAATAGACATGTGATAGGCACACAACACCGGTTGACGGGGACATACACCACAATAGCTAGCTGTGTGTCAGCTGTTTGATATCACCAAGTGTGACATACACCACTAGCTGCGTGTCACGTCATGTTCACATCGTCATGTTGGCTGTCGTGGCCGGGTATATTTATACCTAGAAACAGCTTTCGTGGAAACTAATGTTGCCACGCCTAGCCGTCCATTGATCGTATCACTGCCAGCTGTTTTTGTATCACATGTGTTGGTCTGCAATGTGTAATCTGTACATTTGTTGGCCCATTCTGATTGAGGTGTTGTATCTTCACGACATTGATGTCTGGCTGTGTCAAATGAAATCGTGTCTCAATATAATCTTAACAAGGGCTCAGTGCCACACCTCTCCACAACATTGTCGCTGTTGACGACAACGCTGGTGAATCTTATGCTGGAAAGTCTAAGTAGGTGTTCCCTACCTGTAGCGTTAAGTGCAATAATCCTGTCAAGCATGGACGCGATCTCTCTGGTTAGGTCATAGGATGCAAATATCATATAATACACTTTGATGGGACACGAACATACTCTGGCTAATTAAATCCAAAGTAACGTTGAGAGAAAGGCGAATAATACGATCCCTGACTTCATTGCTATAAACACCACTATTTTATTTTGTATTGTACAATGTACAATAAAGTACCCACTCGTGTACTGACGGTGAATGTAATATGCAGTAATATAATGTGTTAGTATCATGAACCTCGTTAATCATTTATTACATAACATCCTGGTTTGGTTTGGGTTTGGGGTGTTTTTATTTGGTGTTGTGTTGTATTGTTTTTTACGTTACATAAGATAACTCGGAAGATTAAGTGAGTGATAAATACAATACTGCTCTCGGGCATTTCAAACCGTGTTCTAATCGATCCATTTCCATATTGTAATGGATATTCGCTCGTTTTCATACAAAGGAGGGGCGGTGGGGTAACCTAGTGGTTAAAGCGTTGGCTCGTCACGCCGAAGGCCCGGGTTCGATTCCCCACATGGGCACAATGTGTTAAGCCCATTTGTGGTGTCCCCCGCGGTGATATTGCTGGAAAATTGCTAAAAGCGGCGTAAAACTAAACTCAGTCAGTCAGTCAGTCATACAAAGGTTCATGAATGTAATGAGGAGTATTGGTGTAAAACTAGTTAGCTCGAGTGTAGAAACTCTTGGGTGTCAATTTCAACGCCGCCTGCACAAAATGTTCTTCAAACATACGAATATCGCCACAAGGCAGGAGTAGGAGAATAGCACTTGGTCCAGCGGTCAAGTTCTACAACTTCAGTGTAAATAATATCGTGATCTAATTGCAAGGAACATTGCATCTCACGGAACACCTATTCTCATCGTATCAAGATAGTGTGAACCTTTCTATGTCATCGTATCTAGATGGTGTTGACTATTGTATGTCATCGTATCTAGACGGTGTTGACCAATGAATGTCATTGTATCTAGATGGTGAGGACTATTGTATGTCATTATATCTAGATGGTGTGGACTATTGTATGTCATTGTATCTAGACGGTGTGGACCATTGTATGTCATTGTATCTAGATGGTGTGGACCATTGTATGTCATTGTATGTAGATGGTGTGGACCATTGTATGTCATTGTATCTAGATGGTGTGGACCATCGTATGTCATTGTATCTAGACGGTGTGGACTATTGTATGTCATTGTATGTAGATGGTGTGGACCATTGTATGTCATGGTATCTAGATGGTGTGGACCATGGTATGTCATGGTATCCAAATGGTGTGGACCGTTGTATGTCATTGTATCTGGATGGTGTGGACCATTGTATGTCATTATATCTAGATGGTGTGGATCATTGTATGTCATTGTATCTAGATGGTGTGGACCATTGTATGTCATTGTATCTAGATGGTGTGGACCATTATATGACATGGTATCCAGATGGTGTGGACCGTTGTATGTCATTATATCTAGACGGTGTGGATCATTGTATGTCATTGTATCTAGATGGTGTGGACCATTGTATATGTCATGGTATCTAGATGGTGTGGACCATTGTATGTCATGGTATTCAGATGGTGTGGACCGTTGTATGTCATTGTGGACCATTGTATGTCATGGTATCTAGATGGTGTGGACCATTGTATGTCATTGTATCTAGATGGTGTGGACCATTGTATGTCATTATATCTAGACGGTGTGGATCATTGTATGTCATTGTATCTAGATGGTGTGGACCATTGTATGTCATGGTATCTAGATGGTGTGGACCATTGTATGTCATGGTATCCAGATGGTGTGGACCGTTGTATGTCATTGTATCTCGATGGTGTTGACCATTGTATGTCATTGTATATTGACCGTGTGGACCATTGTATGTCATGTATCTAGATGTGTGGACTAGTGTATGTCATCGCTATACTAAGTATCAACACTAAATGAAACTGTCAACAATATACTAATAAATGAATAAGACAATTGTGATTTGCGGTGCACGTGTTGGAAGGAGTAATTACAGGATGAAAATGCTGCGTGAATATTGCGTGCATATAGAGAAAGTGAAATCACGCAACTATCCCTGGCAGTTTACATTGTAACAATAAACTTTCGAATACCTGGTAATATACGACTTTATGTTCATGAATACTTACGGGCAACCACATACCAAGACAGTTTTGACAATTACAAAGAGTGATATATACAGCACAGAATTTACTTCACTCAACATAGACTCAACTATATATAAAACTCCATCATCAATACAGGATGTACCATATATATAACACAGAATGTGCTACTGTAGCTACTACTGATTTGCTCAACACAGGACTACAATACCCGATATGGGAAAATATATGCGAAACAGACGAAAACATGCAAAATGGGAAACAGATTCTTTTGGAGTAAAAGCGATATAGTGGTGGGTGTTATAACATGGACCACTAATAATTAGTGATGACAGCAAATGTTCACTTAAATGACAAATGTTTACCATTATGATAGGACGTCTGTCCGCTTACCAACTTACTCACCGACTTACTGACTGAAGATCTGTTATAGCCACATTTAGATAGAGTCAGTTTTCACTATAACTTGACCATTGCCGACTGTGGCCTCCACTATGATACACAGCATATATCATATTCTAAAGTGTAATAAATGATAAACTAGCTTGTTACTTACAGAGATACGACAGCCCGTAGTTTTGAAGTTGACCGTACACGGTAAAGTCTGACTGTTGCGTCATAGCAGTTCCAGGAAACATAGATTAAAATAGCTATTGATTGATATGACGCTCGAAAACCACTTTCTTTTCATCCTGAAATGACAATATGTTGGAAAATGAGTTTGCACAAAATGCGAGAGTTGCAACAATACGTTTGTTCATTTAAGAAGCACATGTGACACAAGATGGGTATACCGCACGGTTACACAGCATATAGACACGCTTGGTGACGTGTCATGTTAGGCTGTATTGATCGGGTTTATTTTTGTCGCGTTCCAAGAATCAGCTTTCGTGGACACTCACGGTGACACGTCTACTACTTGGATGGGAGCTAAAGTCCATTGGCCCAGTGTGTGCAACACATTAACCTGTTTGCCTGTTTACTCTGTCTGAATGATATCTTGTTCTTTAATAACACTGATGTCACGTTGTGTCAAATGACACCGTGGCTGAATATTATGTTAACAATGGAAACAAAGCTCAGTGCCACATAACCCACTAATCACTACGTCAAGGAGTGAAGGAGGTTTGACGACCATGGCTCCTAAGTGCCCATAATCATACAATGATTTACGCAGCACCAAGTTCTACACTCACAAAGGTTTACTTTGTCTCAGTCCATCTCTCTTACTACAACGTCAGCACCAAGTTCTACACTCACATAGGTTTACTTTGTCACAGTCCATCTCTCTTACTACACCGTCAGCACCAAGTTCTACACTCACATAGGTTTACTTTGTCTCAGTCCATCTCTCTTACTACAACGTCAACACCAGGGTCTACACTCACATAGGTTTACTTTGTCTCAGTCCATCTCTCTTACTACAACGTCAACACCAGGGTCTACACTCACATAGGTTTACTTTGTCTCAGTCCATCTCTCTTACTACAACGTCAACACCATGTTCTACACTCACATAGGTTTACTCTGTCTCAGCCCATCTCTCTTACTACAACGTCAGCACCAGGGTCTACACTCACATAGGTTTACTTTGTCTCAGTCCATCTCTCTTACTACAACGTCAGCACCAGGGTCTACACTCACATAGGTTAATTTGTCTCAGCCGATCTCTCTTACTTCAACACCATGTTCTACCTCACTCCGCTGAGGTTTACTCTGTCTCAGTCCATCTCTCTTACTACAACGTCAGCACCAAGTTCTACACTCACATAGGTTTACTTTGTCACAGTCCATCTCTCTTACTACAACGTCAGCACCACGTTCTACACTCACATAGGTTTACTTTGTCTCAGTCCATCTCTCTTACTACAACGTCAGCACCAGGGTCTACACTCACATAGGTTTACTTTGTCTCAGTCCATCTCTCTTACTACAACGTCAGCACCAAGTTCTACACTCACATAGGTTTACTTTGTCTCAGTCCATCTCTCTTACTACAACGTCAGCACCACGTTCTACACTCACATAGGTTTACTTTGTCTCAGTCCATCTCTCTTACTACAACCTCAGCACCAGGGTCTACACTCACACAGGTTAAGTTGTCTCAGTCCATCTCTCTTACTACAACGTCAACACCAAGTTCTACACTCACATAGGTTTACTCTGTCTCAGTCCATCTCTCTTACTATAACGTCAACACCAAGTTCTACACTCACATAGGTTTACTTTGTCTCAGTCCATCTCTCTTACTACAACGTCAACACCATGTTCTACACTCACATAGGTTTACTTTGTCTCAGTCCATCTCTCTTACTACAACGTCAGCACCAGGTTCTACAATCACATAGGTTTACTTTGTCTCAGTCCATCTCTCTTACTACAACGTCAACACCAGGGTCTACACTCACATAGGTTTACTTTGTCTCAGTCCATCTCTCTTACTACAACGTCAACACTAGGGTCTACTCTCACATAGGTTTACTTTGTCTCAGTCCATCTCTCTTATTACAACCTCAGCACCAGGGTCTACACTCACATAGGTTTACTTTGTCTCAGTCCATCTCTCTTACTACAACGTCAACACCAAGTTCTACACTCACATAGGTTTACTTTGTCTCAGTCCATCTCTCTTACTACAACGTCAGCACCACGTTCTACACTCACATAGGTTTACTTTGTCTCAGTCCATCTCTCTTACTACAACCTCAGCACCAGGGTCTACACTCACACAGGTTAAGTTGTCTCAGTCCATCTCTCTTACTACAACGTCAACACCAAGTTCTACACTCACATAGGTTTACTCTGTCTCAGTCCATCTCTCTTACTATAACGTCAACACCAAGTTCTACACTCACATAGGTTTACTTTGTCTCAGTCCATCTCTCTTACTACAACGTCAACACCATGTTCTACACTCACATAGGTTTACTTTGTCTCAGTCCATCTCTTACTACAACGTCAGCACCAGGTTCTACAATCACATAGGTTTACTTTGTCTCAGTCCATCTCTCTTACTACAACGTCAACACCAGGGTCTACACTCACATAGGTTTACTTTGTCTCAGTCCATCTCTCTTACTACAACGTCAACACTAGGGTCTACTCTCACATAGGTTTACTTTGTCTCAGTCCATCTCTCTTATTACAACCTCAGCACCAGGGTCTACACTCACATAGGTTTACTTTGTCTCAGTCCATCTCTCTTACTACAACGTCAACACCAAGTTCTATACTCACATAGGTTTACTTTGTCTCAGTCCATCTCTCACAACGTCAGCACAAAGGAGGATAGGCTCGTTCCATAGTGGGGCGTCGATTTGCCTTAGTCCACTCTACCCGTGTCAAAGGTACCGTTTTAAATGGTTCGGGTCTGTCCTGGTCTTCATCACATATACCAATACGACGGTTTGATCGACTTAATAACCCACTTAACAGCCCGAGCCCTACTTTGCAAAACCACACGTTCTCTACAAAGTCACTCTACCCCTATAGGATGTATATCACAAACGGAATGGTTTTGTCATTTCAAGAATCTATTTTCAAAGGAGTATATTGCTTATGTTGTTGACAATTAGCTATTAGATTGTGATAATGATGAGCTCGTTGAAGAGTTTAATGATGTTGATAGGCTTGTCCTGGAATCACCTGTTACAGAATATCATATATTGGATGCTGTATCTCGTCTTAGGTTGGTCCATCTGCTGGACTTGATGGCGTTTTTTCAGGAATGCCTAAATATTCATTACATGATAACGTACTCTCCCTGGTTAAAATATTCAGTTGAGTATTTGAGTATTTGATAGAGGTCGTTTTCCTTCCGTCTGGGTGAGGTCTTTTATTATCCCAATATATAAAATGGAAATGCACCAAATCCTGACAATTATAGGGGTATTTCGCTGATAAGTATTCTTGGTAAACCTTTACATCTATTATCAACAGTAGGTTAACAATGGTTAGATATGAGAGATTTAATACCGGAATCTCAAGCAGGGTTTAGAAAGGACTACTCAACATTTGATCATATATTTACCATTAAGCTATTACTGAGAGATATTTATCCTTAAGCAAGCGAAAGTTATATTTAACTTTTGTAGATTTCAAAAAGGCGTTTGATTCTCTAGATAGATTTAGAATGTGGAAATGTGTAAGAAATAGGGGCTTGAAGAATAATATGTATGGTATCACAAGATCGATGTATTCAAGGTTTAAATCATGTGCCGCGTTGAGGTAATGTTGTAAGTGACTTTTTCCATTGCCCTACGTTTAAGTCCTCTACGTTTTTCCCTTGTCATTAACGAATTATATTTAGATATCTTGAAGTCTGGTAAACATGGCATCCAACTTTCTGCCCATCTAATCGAACTTTTCATGTTATTATTTGCTGATGATGTGATTCTTATGTCCAGTCCTGTAATTGGTCTTCAAAATCAAGTAGATATACTTTCTGCATATACAGATAAATGGCAGTTGAGTGTGAATCGTAATAAAACAAACATCGTTATATTCTGTAGAGGTAGTCCTTTGCCGGCTTTACTCTAACACAGACGTAAGGCGGCCTTAGTGCTACGATAGCTTTGTGCAAGAGGGCACAAGACTATGTTGCTGCCCCTTCACAAGGGACATTCTCAGTAACCCTATTGATGTAATATACATCATTATAGACACGTGCAATTATCGGACTCGTGCAAGAATAACTTTTAATGATCATGGAAATATTTTTTCGGCTTCACGTATGTGCCTGAAACCTGTTGGAATGTGATCACTGGTAACATGAAGCGAGTCCTTGTGCTTACATTAGTGGAACATCAGTTCTACACAAAGGCAAATGCAAAGTATTATACAACTTGGTAAACGGTCACACGACAATCCTGTATGAGAAGATTTTATGTTTTATGAAAACAATGAAATACATGTTATGATTATGATTGCGTTACACTGAAAGACAAAACATCCTCCTCGAATGCTTTGTGATAGACTCCATAGGTATTTGCACAGGTGAAGCCATATTGACATTGTTCGTGTCGGAGTAGCACTTACCACCCAGAGAACTTCTATGCGATATTAACTGACCATTTCCTTTCCATTCACGTGTCAATCCAATCTCAAACATATTTCGATGTACATTCTTGTCATCGTTGTACTGGTGAGTCTCGTTGTCCTGAGGTTTCTAGGACTTGAGTCCTGCCCCACAACGAAGCACATGTGACACACGTGGTCTCACCCTAGGCAAGTGAGTTTATTCAAAATTCTCTCTGTTCACCCAGCAGAAAAATGGGTACCCGGTGGAAAAAGTCATATGACTATAACCTTCTAGCGCCTCACAGGCAGCTTGGGTTATCCGGGGTAATAATGTGCTGTGCCTTGATTGTTAGCGCTATGAGCATACCTAGGGTGGAGTCTAGCGCTATATAAATGGACACATTATTATTATGTTTTACAGATTAAAGATAGTATGCAGCAGAGAGGGTTCGGGATGGCACAGTCAGGCTGGTAAGACTCATCATCAGCTCAGGGCCCTTGTCCCCTCTACACGCATTATTATTATTATTATTATTATTATTATTATTATTATTACCGGTGAGTCTCGTTGTATCCATGACTCGTTTACTCGAGTCCTGTGCATATGCGCCATGTGTCATCTTCTACTGGAGAGTATCGTTGTACTCAGTGATGAGCCTTGTACTATTTTCTGGGGCGGTGGGGTAGCCTAGTGGTTAAAGCGTTGGCTCGTCACGCCGAAGACCCGGGTTCGATTCCCCACATGGGCACAATGTGTTAAGCCCATTTCTGGTGTTGCCCGCCGTGATATTGCGGGAATATTGCTAAAGGCGGCGTAGAACTAAACTCAGTCAGTCAGTCAGTGTACTATTTTCTCTGTCAGTAAGGGGCGGTTGAGTAGTCTAGTGGCTAGTAAAGTAACTCACTGTCAGTAGAATTATGGCTATGTGGCTATGTATAATGCTGTCTATCTGCTTACTGATTACAATCGCTTTTTTCGTTTGGTATAGTTCCATTTACATGTCAGTGTACGTAAAACACCTTTGCTAAATATTTGAAATTATAACGTTTACACACAAACATAAATATATACCTGCACCCAACTATGCCAAAACTCCTACCTACTTGACAACAACAAAGTCAAAAACTAAAAAACTCATCAAATACCAGTACAGAATGACAACTTAATTATTATATTATAAAAAGAATAATCTGTAACATTCGTGTTACAGTGATCAATAGATATCATGGTATGGTACCAAGGTAACCTCAGTCAAGACCATCAGTCAAGGCTCTTCTCTGTGACGGGACCCAGTCGTCGTTATGGACTCCTCAAGCGCAGCTACAATCTTTGGTTAGCACTGATTGTGTTTGGTCAGCGCAATACCCGTGCTCCTGGGTTCGCCGAGAGTGTAAACGTCTAAGATCTGCATCTCTTCCAAAGTGATGCCATGTACGGTTGCTGCAAGGTGCCCTCTTCAGCATAGAAATGAGACAAGACTATTTCACGTTGACAAGCCAAGTAAATTGCAATGATTATGACCAAGTGTATTATAACTAAACTACAACACACTAACTAACACACCTTGCTGTTCTTTCTTCTCGTGACAGCGCACAAGTCTCACGTAGCTGTAGAACTTGATAACAGATTACTGGCGGATACAGCAAATGGTTGAAGCAGTTGTAAAATGTCTAATGCTGTCGTAGATTTTAGTGGTACTCGCCGACAAAGAGTAGTTTAGTTGTCTGCCTCATTGTCTAGTTATTGGAAATGTTTGTGTCCACAGGTAATGGCAGCTTGTCTCAGTGAATCATTGCAACCCAAGCTAATGTACCATTTAGAATAACAGTCTTCCCATCAGTACTGCCTATTGTCAGTTCGTTCTGCATGAAAGTGGACACCATGAGGTGAAAAGAGGTGCACTTCCGAACCTAAATTAAAGTGTACGACTGTTAAGTGACAACAGGTGTTCAATATGAGTGAGTGAGTTAAAATTTAAAGTCACATCGGCAGTATTTCAGCCATATCGTAATTAAGAAAGTTGTAAATTTATAAATAAAGTTAGCTAATATAATTGTATGCAAAGGACAGTAAAACAACTAGATTATTACATTTTACATTTAAAACTAGCAATTAAATCTTAAATATTTTAACTATAAATGATAATACAAAATATAAACAGGCTATAGATTGCCAGCAATTGAAGATAGATCACCATACTATGAACCAGGGAAGACTTACAGTACTTTGGCTACCTGCATGGACCCCAACTGGAGTTACACTATCCCTTCAGTTACTGGCAATATTGAGGAATTGTAGTCAAAATTAAAATGACAAATATTCTACCTTTAAAACCAGTGGTAGATAAAATATACCTTGAATGATATGGACTTACAGAACCCCTTCAGAGGGAAATTTTTTTTTACAGTACTTCAACCCTCCCTTCACGGGTACAGCCCAAAACCACCTTAGTCATCAATTTATTTACCTATTTTATAAAATATGTTATTATATACAAAACATATCAATCAAAATTTGTGTAATAAACCAATTTCTTATTTTAAAAAAAAAAAACAATTATTAAAAGCTAACTTACATTAAAAAGATCCTTCATTGATGAAACTTTGCAATAATTATGCCTTGTGATGGAAAAATCAATACAGTCAAGCAGGACATGCTCGACCGTGATTTTCTCATCACAATGGATGCCGAATGGAGGATCCTCGCCTTTTAACAAATACTCATCTGGGTATCGAGAATGGCCAATACCGCATCGTCTTAGAATGACCTCTTCAAATCAGGACTGACAACCAAAGTAGGTGTGAACAATAGCTGGTCGTATTTTATGTAATTCATTGATACCTACTTGGATGTCCCACTTGTTCTGCATTAGATCCCGGGTGTAACTTCTTATAAAAGGTTCATAATCACTGTAAGGTATCAGAAGTGGTGCCACAGATTTGTTCAGAACGGCCTTAACAGCAGAATCGGCCATTGTGTTACCATTGATTCCAACATGGCTGCACAACCACCAAAGTGTTCAATATGACGTGTATCTTCCTGTGTGTAACAGTATGATATATTGCAGAGCCGTGAGAAAAACCGAGACTCGTCATGTGTTTTAAAAGAAATTTTGCAACAATGTTCCTTTCGTTTTGTTAACAATCTGAAGCATATTATAGTTTTTAAGATTCTAATTTGTAATATGTGATATGATCGTTTGTAAACATAATCACTGACTATACACGTTTGTCCATAAGTGATTGAGACGAGCAGGTTGGTCATAACTGTATGCGTACAGATGCAGCTTTGTGAAATAAAATCTTTAATGGTGAGTTGGGGGTTCAGAGTGCACTGGATATTTTAACGTTAATATATTACAACGCAACCAGACATCCTAGGTTACATAATGACCCTGACAAAGACATACCAAGTGGGAGCCACTGGTTCCTATCATCCAAACCAACAGGACGCGGTTTTCAGTTTTCAGTTATGATTTGAATAACCCGTTGAAAAAAAGAATACAAGCCGTAGGCATATGCTACAGAACAGACAATCGTAATACTCAATTAGGTTGATATGTGTTATTCAGTGTCAAAGTGCTAAGATATATACTAGCCAAAAGACAACTGGACAATTCCTTCTCGAGCTGTCATATTTAGTTCAGGGTCCGGAGGCAATATGGTGCCATACCGGGGACAAAATGGTGCCATCTGCGCGCGGACATAGACGTCATTTTGTGTTTCAGGATGGCAGCGAAGGGTCGTTTTGTTACTGAGTACATCCAACAGGAGAACGTAGCCACCTTACCATGACCAGCACGTTCCCAGTCCAGACCTGTCCCCTATCGAACATTTGTGGGAGGTCCTTAGACCCGACACCCTCAACGAACCTGGCGCTGACCTGCAGCAGGAGTGGGATGGAAAGAACTAAGTTGACATTGGACGTTTGAATTGGAGTATCATCGTTGGATCCTGGAGTGTGTTCAGAATGGAGTCGGATTATTAATGACGTTCACTTTTCATTGTAAATTTCGTGACGGAGAGTCAGACTGACGCACATCTCAGTCAAATGTCTGTTACACTGTTAAGCCATATGTCGAATAAAAGATGATAAAAACTATATTTGTGACACCCTTTTATTAAACATCCCCTCCTGTTCTGAATGTATAAGCTTTCATTCGCCTGATGATGGCGTGAGATTATTAAAAGCGTGTATTCCGTATAAAATAAAAAGTGGCATGCATAAAACATTTCCCCATGTAGTGCTTCCACGAGACATTTTTAGGATGGCGCAGCACCCTGAACATTTTACTGAGTACCCTGGTCTTCGTTTAATACAATCATTGATACTAACACCTTTACAGTACCACTCCTTTTATTTTCTATTTCATATTGAAGTTCCGTGTAATAATTGTGCTCTTTGAACCTTTAAGAATCATATGCATGAATAGCTTGACGTAATACTTCTAATTTGTCATTGGAATAGGAGTGCAGCTTTTGAAATTATGTCGCCATGTCCTATTTTTAGCCTGGGGGGGAACACTTATATGTATCACTTCCAAAGTCCATTCAAACTCTACTTAATATTCTTCCAAGGCTATCCTTTGCATTCCTGTCAGCTGATTCACGTCCCCGAGAATTTACGGGAATCCCTGAAACTCCCATCAGATATCCCGGATGTATGCATGGCCCAAGGATGCCGAGGACTAAGCGCAGGTCTGTCCATGTTTGGTGTGTGAATGTTCTCAGAATCACACCCTGGTTCCTCAGGTTCTGTAATCCCTGGACGTTTTGGTCGTGAGTTGGTCGGTCCAAGTAGTCCGGTGAACTTTCGAAATCTTCTTCGTCCCAGCAGATTTGGAACAAAGAGACAAAATGAATGCTTAATGTGACTTTGAAGTGGCGGCTTCTAAGGATACGTAGAATATCAAAGTACAGATTGGCACAATCCCAACATGGGCTGTAATTCTGGAAAACCTTAATGTTCAAAATGTTCCCCATACCAGTATTGAATAGGTTCGCTTCGGTAAACAGGGACTTCAATTTCCGAATCAGCTTCAACTCAGCATGAATACAGGATATGTATGATGTCCTTTCAGAGAAGAAGACTTCCCATGGTGTATTCCCACGTACACACACGGCAACCCCAAGCCTTGGCCTGTCACATGTTGGAAGCCCTGTGATCCAGAATACACTGAGTATGTCATTATCTCGCAGGTACCCGTCCATTATGGTAGGAGGTATCGACACCTGTAACACAAGACGTTATTGTACATCCGGTAATATTTTTTATTAGTGTCTTACAAACATATTTATCAAAGAGTGATGAGCGTATTTATTGTATAGATATAGGCCTTAAGAATGCTTTGAGATGTCGGCACGCAGGTGTAATATATTGGTGTGAGTTACAGATAAGCCGCTGGTCTCCAACGACACTACTATAACTACAAAATATATAATGCCCTGTAACATGACTGGCGTCTTGTGATATGTAAGACCTCGCTATTATCAGTTTGACTAGAAGCATGATACCACGGTTCATCTCAACTTGCAAACATGAACCAGGAAGAGTTTACTTACAGTCATTGGACCAACCGCTCGTTAATGTAAACACACACACTGGGTAGTCATGAACGTTAGATGTCGCAGCATGTGCTAACGTCATTCATTTGACGAAGTGCCCTGTATCTTGTCTCGATGGCTTCATGTCGGGCACTGCGGGGACAGTGACGGCGTAACGTGATTATACTGATGGGCTTGAAACGAAACAGGGCGGCTACTTTCGGTTTCTCTTCCAGGAAATGAAGATTGTAATCTATAAGCGTCATTTCTATATATATAGTACCGTGATTACAGTGACTGCGTGTACACTGATATACACACACTGGATCTCACCGACCCGACTTTACATGGCCGTGCTGTATTACGTCAGTTACAGCAATTCAATGTAACTACTGACTACACTGATTTAACCACACTGGACCTTACCGACCCTACTTTAACACCTTTCAGACTAATCTTTTTGACAAATTGATAGATTTAGACAAATGAATGAATTAAGTGGTTTAGCGTCGGCTTCTGGCGGGCGCCAGTTTCGCCGACGGGGCAGGTTGGTTTTAACATTAAATTATAAATAGCTGGTAATAACGAGTAAAGCACCTGCCCCAAAAATTGTAAATGTAGGGGCTTTAACCTAGAGTAATTTAGAATAGAAACGTTTAGAAATAAGATAAAAATAAAATAAAAACCGAAGTTATAAAAGGGAAAGAAATGAGGAAAAAAACAGCAGTGGTTGTTAATAAATGAGAGATAGAGTTAACAAAAAATGAGATGTAAATATGGGGCATATTTGAGGGATAGGGGGTGGTGGTGGTGGGTGGGTGGTATAAAATGAGTATAGCATAATGGGGCATATAAAATGATGCAGGTAGTCTGCATTATTTAAACAAGGGGCTTAAGAAAGAAAGAAATACGGGTTAAACGGGGCTGGGGAGGCAAAGGCCGTGGCTGTGAGTTGAAAGGTTGAGTTTACAATTTAGTGGCGCGGACCTCATAGCAGAAATACAGCGCTCTGGATAAGTGAAATTGATTCCCAGGTCTAAATAGGTAGGCTTATATTGGTAATAGAGTAATAGTTTGGATAAATGAAGTTTTGAAGCCTAGTCTAAATATATAAGCTATTGGGAGGTAGTGTAATGGAGATTTGTTTGGGAGATTCTAAATTTTATGGATTAGGTTGGAGTTTTGTAGGAAGGTGGCTATGGGGTGGAAGATAGTGGGCGGGTTGAGGGAGTTAAGAAGTACATGTAAATGTATATTATTTGTGGTACTTAGATGGTATACTGCTGTGTAGTTGTGTGATGTTTGTTTGTTGTAGGTGGCATTGTGTGAATATATGGTTAATGTCTTCTGGTGTGTTGCAGTGGGAGCAGAGTCCATCTGTGTGTCTGTTTTGCGGTTTTCTTTGAAGGTTAGGTTCTGATTAGGCTTAATTAGCGTTGCGGATAATATACTCTAGATGTTTTGATAAGGTGAACTCGTCGCACACGTCACTTGAAGGTGAACTCGTCGCACATGTCACTTGAAAAGTTTACAATAACACTTAGCGGAGTGCCAATATTGAACACTGTTCATATCTTTGGTATACATATCTATGGAATGGCCAAAGGATTCACATTCGATTTCGAAATGGCAAATGCACAGCTAGATCAGAGATTCATTCCTGCAGCTCGCGGCGGTCGTTACTTGGTTGTTGGCAGGTTCATGTACAGAGTCAGCAAGAGAAAGCGAGACTGGATATCTTGCGGTCGTGTTCCCCCGAAGCGAGTGGAAGGGCTGCTTCTTCCACTTCACCCAGTGTGTATGGAGGAGAACCCAGCAACACCATCTCCAGAAAGCCTACCAGGACGATGACGAGATCAAGAGGTTCGTCCGGAGATGTGCCGTCTTGCCTTTGGTGCCAGCACAGGAGGTAAGTTATTTTAAAACAAATAGTTTGCTCCACCCCAAAAGGTTGTGTAATAAAGGTGTTATTTTGCCCTGTATATTCAGTAACATTAATTTATGTATCTTTTCTTCTTCAGGTAGAGGACCTGTGGCTGGATACCTTGGCAACGATGCCAGATGATGACCGGTGCCGACAACTCGGAGACTACATGACCAACTTCTGGGTGGAGGGAGATCTGCACATGACGCAATGGAACCACCACATTTAGGTTAAAATCTGTTAAAAAATGTATGCTATATGAATTTAATATGTATTTTTATTAAAAATGCTAAAATCTGTCATCTGTTGTCATCTTCTCATTAGGTGCGCTCTCATCCGCATAATCCGGATTATCCTCCTCTTTGATCCTGCATTGCCCTCGTAATCCATTATTAATTGGCAAAATGAAACTAGTCTCAGGACGTCGACCTTCAGATTTCACCCAACCGTAAAGTTTGGTCGAAAGGTCGGTGTTATGAGCCTGAAACATGCAAATGTCAATGTTTTTGATATTGGAGAATGTAGGGAGTTTGCTGATAGGTGTGTGTTTTGATGATGTTTTTGTGTGAGTTAGGTGAGTTGTAAGTTGTTGCTAGCTTGGCGCTGTGTCTGCAGTGTTATTTCCTGGAATGTTGGTGTGGCTGGGTATCAATAAACATGTTATGTTTAAGCGTTTGAGTGAGTCTGTTTGTATTATAATATTATGCATTACGTCAGGGCGTGATTTTGAGTGCATATTTTGTATTTGTAAGGATGGGAGAGTCGGAAAGTATGAGAAAATTTGCTTGTTGAATTGATGGTATTAGGTGTAGCGCTGAAAGGATTGCAGTTAGTTCGGCGGTGTTAATAGTGGTGTAGTTTGAGTAATGCAGGATTGTTGTTAGTGGGGGGTTTGATCTACATGTATACCTATGCCTGTTCTGTTGTTTTTGTAGATGGATGGATCTGTGTAGATGTGGGTAGTTTGTTGAATATGGTTGTTTATGATATTAAATTTGCTGTGTATATCAGTGTTGTTTGGCAGGTTTTGTAGTGTAGAGGCTAAAGTGGTGTCCGTGGGTGGTGGGGGTTTGTCGTGGATGTAGCTTGTAATGGGAGGTGTGTGAGGTATGGTGTTTAACTGTTGGGCATGTAACAGACTGGTGAGGTGAGTAAGGCATGGAGCTATACTTGGGTTTATTTTGTTATGTTGTTGTATTTGTTTGTAATTAGTTTGAAGATGGGGTTGTGTTGGGTCCCATCCTAGTAGGTGAGTGTGGTTTGTTTGATTCTGTGGATGATTGAAGAGGTGCCTGTAATAAGGAGCAGTGTATTAAGGGAGGTACCACTCCTCGTGCCTGTGGCTAGTTTGAGGGCCTTATATTGGACTGAGTTTAGTTTTTGGAGGTTACAGGGGAACAGGTTGTGGAGAACCGGAGCAGCGTAGTCCATTCTCGACCGTATAAGAGTTCTGTATATGTTGATGAGTGTGTTTGTCGGCACCCCCAGTTTGTCCAAAATGAAATGTCCTCGGCAAATTTGGCAGTTGAGATTTCAGGCCATTTCTCTGGAAATATGTCGTTAATCATAAAGTTGGGGATGGGGTTGGTGTTTTTTTATTGGTTAAGGGCCTTTTTTCTTGCCTTTCTGGCATTTATGATGTCTGTGCTCCACCAGGTGACTGTTTTTAGTGCTGGATTGGTTTGGATGGTGGGAATGCATTTGTTTGTGATGTTTATAATGGCGTTTGTGTAGTTGTTGTTGAATGTGTTTATGTCGTGGTTGTAGATGCTAGTAGTGTCTAGTTGTTTACAGAGTGTGGTAAATTTATGCCAGGGAGGGAGAGTGGGTATCCTGTAGGTTGGTTGTCGTTTAGTGTGCTTAGGTTGTGTTTGTCTAGCCAGTCGGATAGTCGAGTTCCATTATTGTCGGTGAAAGGTCTTGTGCCCCACAGTGGATGGTGTGCGTTGAAATCTCCGAGGATAATGGTATATGGACTTTGGATAGTTTTTCTAAATCATTAGTAGTGATACACTGGGTCTTCTATATACGTTTATGATGGTAAATTCTTTATTGTTAAGTTTTGTGTTTTAATAGCCAGGACTTCTAGATCTTGGGTGGGGATGTCGAAAGTGGTATAATTTAATTGTTCTGTTATAAAGAAGCCCAGGCCTCCTGCAGTGGGGCCTGGGATATTTACTGGCCGAGGTCTATCTTTCTGAATGAAAATATAGCCTGGTATTTTGAAGGCATTTTTAGGTGATAATTTGGTTTCTTGCAAAGCGATTATTTGAGGGGAGATTTTATTTAGGGCGATGAGTGCCTTAAGCTCATGCCCGTGTACTCGGAATCCATTGCAGTTCCCCTGTAATATAGCCATGGTTGCAGTAATTTGTAGCAGTAGTTTAAGAAAGACCATGGGTTGGGGCATAATTTGCAATAGGTTGTTGGTGGCTAGGGCAGCTTAGTGGTTGAAAAGGTTTAGGAGAGGTTTTTGATGGCGATAAGGAGGCTGGCTAGACCCTTGTGGTAGAGTTTGTGTTTGTGGGCAAGGGTATGTAGTTTTTTAGCTGTGGGATCTTTGAGGAGAATGGCTGCAGATATAAATTCCATGAGCTTGTTGAGGTTTTGATTTAATTTTTTTGGTGTGAGAGAGTGCGGTTGGGTTTGTGTTGGGGGGACAGTGTGTTTTTTGGCTGTGTGGAGGTGGGGTTGGACAGCTTGGGTGATGGGTGGTTTGGGGGTTTGGGAGAGTAGTATTGGTAGGTGGGGGTTGGTTTGTGGGCTTGGGAGGTGGTGGGGCAGTGTTAGGGCTGGGTTTGGTGGTGTGGGTGTGGGTAGGAGTGGTTGTTTAGGTTTGATGGGCTTTGTGTGTGGATGGGTGGGAGGGCGGAGGGGAAAGTTTTAGTGGGTGGTGGGTGGGTAGGTTTGGAGGGGGCTGAGGATGGAGCTGGATGAAGTATTAGCAGATGGTGTGGAGGAAGACACTGAGAGGAGAGAATGATATGCGAGTGGTATGCGTGCTGGTTTCGACATATGTCCCTCTCTAATTAAATAGATATCCTCATTTCCCTTCCTCAATGACGACTTCCCTTCCCCGATGACTCAACCCGGCAATCAACAGAAATCAGGGTTATTACATCCCCACGGCTTACGATCAACTAATCTAGCCTAACCAAGAATAACCCACCCTTTGTCTACTGGCTTCAATCATTCCCATCACAACAAAGTCTCATGTCAACACACCGTACATCAACCTCTTCTATTGTATAAACCAATGCCCGCAATACCCGCCACGTATATATTTCTCCTTGTGCAATTGTTGTGTATCATTCGCTTGATAACGGTGCTAGGATCTACACCGAAACGTCGCAACTACCACTGCAACAAAGAAGTTGTCTATCTATAAAAAGTGTTCCACTTCAGCCTCATTCCCATCGAACAGATCCCAATATGCCAAACTGAAAAGTACTCGTTCCCAGACTGTATCTGTTAATACCGGTGTTCCACAAGGATGTGCATTGTCTCCAATACATTTCATTTTGTATATTAATACCGGTGTTCCACAAGGCTGTGTACTGTCTCTAATACTTTTCACTTTTTATTTTGATACCGGTGTTCCACTAGGATATGTATTGTCTCCAAACTTTTCACTTTGTATTTTAACACCGGTGTTCCACAAGGATATGTATTGTCTCCAATACTTTTTACTCTGTACAGTAATGATTAAGTAACTTCTGCACCAATCTGTTCTAGATTCAAGTTCGCCGATGATATAGCCATCAGCAGTCTAATCTTTGACAATGAGTATGCATACAAAGACGAAATTAATGCTTTTGTTAAGTGGTGTAATGAAAACGTTTTGGAACTTAATGAGTCAAAAACAAAGAAACTTATCATTGAT